AGGCAAGGATGGGATGTTCCATAAAACACGAACAGGAGAATACATGAAATCAAGAACAAGGCATAATATCTATGCAATTAAACAAGATTGGTGCATTTCACATAACACGACAAAGACAAGATGTGAAATCAACCAATGTGGAAACTCGGATATCGCCCGGATTAAAACCGTACTCTTGAGATCACTTTAGGGCTACTAACCCATGGGTACCTTTCCCCTAGTGTGCACTATATTGTAGGAGGACATTCCCCCGTACTAGAACCGAGTTCTAGCCATGTCAATTTTTGATTGATATCTCCAAGTCCCAAAATCAACAAGTTGTGTAAACCAAGATAGTATCAAAATACAAGAAATGCATTAACCACATTTCATGCACAACCAAGATTTTGGAACACACAAGTCATGCCCTAAGGTCATCAACTATAATGGCATGTGAAATGTCAAGAAATCATAGTATGCATCTATATAGATTATAACCAAGATATATAGCACATGCAATCCATTAAAGTAAATATACCATAAGTATACGATACATGATTCAAGTAATTACTAAGCAACACATGAGTAATTAAATCATTCCAAGACAAAGGTGCATGTTCATTAAGTACATTAATGAAACCTAGATACAAGAGGTCACGATGCTTGATAAAGGATAACAGTTCATGAAATTCAAGTCAAGTTCACTAGTTGAACAAGAATTCATATCAAGGCATGATTAACTCGATGGAAGCATATAAAGGAAATTTAATCTACTTAAGAGATTAAATTATCAAGATTACAAGGTAAGTTCAAGTGTTCTACAAACAAGATATGTCAAGGATCATATGAAGAACAAGTCTAATATTGAGTTACAAGTTCATTTCATTCAAAACATAACCATGTGAATTTAGTTCCATACAAAGGAAATAAATGAATATAAGTTTCAAAACTTATCCGGTTATTCTTAATTTGATACACGTAAAGGAACTTGTCACGAAAAGCATGAATCCCAAGTTAAAAACTTAATCAAGACCAATGAGCTATTAAATGGATTTTAATTATTTCATTTAATTAAAATCTCTAAGTTTTAAAATTCATCCAAATGATCTCAAATTTATATATGTTATACAACATGCCAAGACTTGATTTAAAAACACGACACAAGTGAATTCCATACAAGAGAAGACCACGAGTATTAAACTTTAATACTAGAAAATAAATAAATGAAAGGTTTCAAAACCTAATCAAATATTCTAGACTTAATATATGTGAAACCATATAGCATACATATCAAGAATGTCAAGTCAGAATTCCAATAGGATGAATAGTACACCCGGAGCAAATTAATTAATGAATACTAGATTTTAAAACACATCCGATTACTTTCAAATTAATCTATGTTGAAGAGCATGCTAGGGCCTAATTTAATATGCTAACACACATTGATTTCAAGCTAATTAAGGCCATGTGAATTAATCTTTCACTCAAGATAAATATTAAATAAAAGCTTTAATACTTATTCAAATGTTCCAAATTTAATACACGACAATGAGCATATCAAGGGGCAATATAATATCATGCTATATGTTTAAACCAAGTCATGAGCAACCGGGAAAATCAGATCCCGTACAAGAAAAATAAATAATAAAATATCTAGATTTCATATTTAAGCATGTAATCAAGTTGTATAAGCATCAATATCATGCTATATAACAAGAATTAAACCTATAACACCCCCTACCTCAATTTGAGATGAAAATCTCAAAGGCCCACCAAAATAAAAGTGCTCCGAATTCGACGATATCGAGAGGTTTTGTCGGGGACAACACCGGGAACAAGAATCCGCAAGAAGCCCCATGAAAATCTCAACTTGTCTCCAAACCCGAACTCAAAAAATCGTCGGAAATGGATTCTAATAAGGGCAAAAGATGCGCATCGCCAAGAGAAACATTAAATGTTAAGGCTGAAGACTTTTCCTTAGAGAAAAGTGAACCAAAGGAGGAAAGAGAAGGTGGCTACCATTGATTCCGGCCAAGAGAGGGGAAGAAGATAGAGAAATCTGATATTTTCTTTTAAGTGACCCTATTTATAGAAAATCTCAAAAAGTGCCCCGAAAGGGCCCCGTCGGGTCTGAAAAAGTGGATTTTGAGCAGACGCACTCAAACTGCAAAAATATTTGAACAAAAAAGATTTCAAATGAGAAAATATGAACAACGGAAGAAACAGCGTCAAAAATCGAGTCCCGAGCAGAGAGATATGGCCCGAACAAGTTCGGCGCTAACCGGGTCCAGAAACTCTGAAACTGGAGAAAAATGACCAGAACGGAATTCTATGAGTACACGACTTGACAAAATGTGAAAAGGAATCTTGTACGAGGATCCAGGCTCCAGACAAGATATTTTGCAATAACTTTCGTTAATTGCACAATGGCCCCTATAAAAAGGGTTAACTGCAAAACTACCTCAGAATGAAAATATTTTCTAAAAGATATTTTCTTAGATACCCCTGAAATAAAATATCTTCAAAAGATATTTATGAAACACACCCCAAGAAAAGAAAAGAATTCCAAAGAATTGTGCATCCATGCCCCTATGGACACCGGGAGCAACCAGAGTACTTTCTTGAAAAAGTGAAGATATGTATTTCGTAGAAACCACGTAAGATCAAGATATGTGAAGTCAAAAAGTAACTCCAAGCACGTAAAGTGAGGTTATGCCAAAAACTGACAAACGGGGAAAAGACAGAATAAGGAAAGGACGAAATAGTGCATAGTGTCAAAAAATGAAAAATGTGGAAATGACTCGGTCCTCAAAGGAAGTTGTCAATCCATGGAAAAGAGTCTCAGAATCCATTCATGAGCACTCAAAATGACACTAAGTAATGAGAAACTGAACTCAGCAAAGGAAATTAAACAAAAAAAATTCATTCATAAAATTTCAGGAAAAAAAAAAAAGTAAGGGAATTTTTCGGGTCGTTACACAACCAATCAATCAATTCAACCAGTTACCTGTAAACCAATAAATATTAGTTAAAAGCAAAACATAATACACTCATCTCCCTATGGGTTCGATGCCCTCTCTATAGTGCTATCCTACAAAGATTCAAGCTATTGCAAATAGTTATTTATTATTGAGAGTTCGTCCCAGGCCAGACTTAGTATGTTCACATTGTTAGAGTTCAGATCTGATTAAGAATTCTTGGTTAATGACTTTGCTCCGATCAGTAACAATGATTAGAGGTGAGAGTTCTTATCCACAAGAAAATGAACAACACATGAAGCTTGACGAATTGATGAGCATGATAGAGGCTCTAAGGAGAGAAAATGCATAATTAAGAGCCGAAATAGAGAGACGGGACGCTCCAGTACCTCTACGACCGTATCCAGTAGGAGAGAGAATTGTGTCGCCAAATAATGCTTACCAAGACGAACAGGAAGGAAACGTTTCACTGGATCCGCGCCGTGAAAACTTCAGCCCGGATGATTTTCCATCTAATGTTTATCATCTAAAAGATCAGGAAAGATCTATCCATTTGGATCCGCATCGCGAAAGGATCAAGCGAGAAGAGGCCATGGAGATCGATCCGCATCATAAAGGGATCAGGCGAGAAGAAGCCATAGAGATTGATTCACTTCGCGAAAGGATTAGGCGAGAAGAAGCCATAGAGTTTGATCCATAATGCGAAAAGATTAGACGAGAAGAAGCAATGGAGTTCAGTCATAATAAGGCTACGCCATGGTGGCAGAGGGAGTTAACTGAGGAAAGGTCATTCGATCCGCTCTACCATCCGTCAATGGCCACGTATGACTATAAGAGTTCAGGCAAGAGATCTGTTGAGCAAAAGATACTCCCAAAAGAAAATGAAGCTCTCCGTTCAGTAGCTCGGACTGTCAATTCGCCATTCATCGATGAGATCTTGAATGCTCTAAATCCAAGAAAATTCTCAATGCTAGTTTTCACTTTGTTCGATAGAACAAGCAATCCGATCGAGTATGTTTATCATACCCAGCTGAAAATGGCTCTGAACACAGAAAATGATCCTTTAATGTGCAAAGTTTTTCTTATGAGCCTAACCGAACCAACGCTCAACTAGTTCAAGAACTTGGCAAGAGGATCGGTAGGAAGCTTCCGGAACTTATGCGACAGATTCATAAGCCAGTACTATGAAACAACGGGAAGGTGAACGTCTCTAAGCTTTTCTCACAAGATTTAACCTGGAAAAGAGCATGGTAATAGAGTGTCATCCATCTATGGCAATTCAAGCGTTCAAGCTGGCTATGAACCGAGGGACACCATTCCACACAAATCTAGTGGTGAATACGCCGAGGACTATGGATGAGCTAAACGAAAGATCTGATGATTTTGTGCGCTTAGAGGAAGAAAAAGCTGCGAACGCAAGGAAGACGTCCATGGTTGTAACAGAAGAAAAGACCAGAACAAAGATTAGACAGAAGCAAGTTGCACCACAACATCTGACTCCCTAGAAAGCAGAAAAGAGTCCTAGAGAAGAGGAGTTGGTCACTCCACTCAAAATCACCTTAGCGAGATTATTTCAAGAAAATAAAGATAAGTTTCGCCCTCCCTTGCCGATCAGGTAGCCACTCAAACAAAGAGATCAATCCAAACATTGTGCTTTTCATAATGATTTTGGATATCTAACTAATGAATGCTGGAACTTAAGAAGACAAATGGAGATGCTGATAGCAAAAAGAGAGTTTACTGGTTATATCCAAGGACCAGCAGTGAGGTAGAACCGACCGGCTGAACAAGTGAAACGAAATCAGAAGCCGAACTACCATAACGCTCAGCCTGTTCATATTATAAATGCAATTCATACCGGCCTGAGCCCACCAAAAAGATAGAAGAACTTCTCCAAACATGTCTTCGATAAGCACAAATGAAGAAACGGATAGGCAGTATAAACGCTCTATACCAGCAAAACAGCTCAGTTCAGATAAGGTTTGACAGAACGGATCTGTTACGAGTTCAAATTCCTCATGAAAATCCCTGGTCATTAGCCTGATGGTAACAGAATGCTTAGTTCAAAGAATCTGGATTGATCCAGGAAGTAGTGCGAATGTCATGACACAAATAACGTTTGATTGGCTCAAAATTGCACCAGAAAAGCTCAAACCTACGGGAAATCCACTATTAGATTTTGATGGGAAGTGGGTTGAGCCTATCGGTATAGTCGAACTGCCAGTACTTGCTGATAAAAGAGAGTTGATGGAAAGCTTTGTGGTCGTAGCGATTCACCCATCTTATAATCTCTTGATGGGAAGAGGGTGGATTCACAGAGTCCAAGGCGTCCCCTCAACTTTACACCAAATAATGAGTTGCTTAAGTCTAGACAGAAGCAGAGTGATTGATATCTATGGAGACCAAGTAGCAGCCAAAGAGTGCTACTCTGTAACTCTGAAGGCCGACGGGAAAGGAAAAAGGCCTGTTTGGTCTGACATCCTGAGATAGCAATTACAGGGACCTCTACCTAAAGAGGTTGGGGAGGAGGAAGAGCCTTTGGTCCCTACCAAAGAGCCCCTCAAGGATGTGCAGATCGATCTTCAAAGACTAGATAGAACCACTAGAGTAGGTTCAAGGCTCGTACAGGAACAGAAACGGCAGTTAATTGATTTCTTGTCTAAAAATGCAGATATGTTTGCCTGGAGCCATTCAAACATGCCAGGAATTGATCCCTCAGTATCTTGTCATTCCCTCAATATAGATCCAAACGCCAAGCCTGTTAGGTAGAAACATAGGAGGTTAACCCCAGAGCGTAATCAAATCATAGTAGATGAAGTTGATAGATTGTAGGAGGCAGGGTTCATCAGAGAAGTTTAGTACCCATCATGGCTCTCAAATGTGGTCGTAGTGTAGAAGAAGAAAGGAAAATGGAGAGTTTGCATTGATTTCACCAACCTGAACAAAGCTTGTCCGAAGGATAGATTCCCATTACCAAAGATTGATCAAATGGTGGATGCCACTACTGGATATGAATGGTTAACTTTTTTGGATGCCTATTAAAGTTACAATCAAATTCTTATTGATCTAAACGATGAAGAAAAAACGTCTTTTGTTACCGAATGAGGAACATATTGCTACACGGTCATGCCGTTCGGACTGAAGAATACTGGAGCCACTTACCAAAGGCTGGTTAGCAAGATTTTCAAAAGTTAAATAGGCAAAACTATGAAAGCTTATATTGATGATATGGTAGTGAAAAGAAAAAAGGAGGACCAGCATTCATAGCACCTGTAAGATGTGTTTGAAGTATTTAGGGGGTATGGCATGAAGCTTAACCCAACCAAATGCTCATTCGATGTAGGTTCTGGACAATTCCTGGGGTACGTGGTCAATAGTAGAGGGATTAAAGTTAGCCCATCCCAAGCAAAAGCTCTTATAAGAAATGCATAACCAAAAACTATTAAGGAGGTTCAAGCGCTCAGTAGGCGGATAGCAGCACTAAGTCAATTTATTTCCAAACTATCAGATCACTGCAAACCATTCTTCGACACAATAAGAGGTCACAGAAGACAAGCCTGGGGGGATGAGCAACAACAGACGTTGACCAAGTTAAAAGAATATATGTAGAACCCTCCAATCTTATCTGCCCCAAAACCAGGCGAGAAGCTTTTCATGTATCTTGGCATATCGAGCGTTACGACAAGTGCTATTCTGATACAGAGTGAAGAGGGAAAGTAATTCCCAGTGTTCTACATTAACAAGACAATGACCGAGTCAGAAAGAAGGTATTCAAAGGTCGAACGAGTTATCCTATCGTTAGTAAATGCAAAGAGGAAACTCAGGTACTACTTTGAGTCTCATCCTATCGTCGTTCTTTCCTCCTTTCTTATAAGGATAATCCTGCATAAGCCAAATCTGTCAGGAAGAATGACAAAGTGGGCCATTGAGCTGAGCTCATTTGATATAACATATGAGCCTGAACGGCTATAAAAGGACAGGTGGTGGTTGATTTCTTGTTAGAATGTGATATAGAAGACATGGAAGAGGCCTCGGAAGTTCATTATGGAAGCTTTTTGTTGATGGTTCTTCAAATCAAATGGAGGCAGGCATAGGGATCAAATTGCAAACACCAGATGGTACCACACTATGTCAAACGATCAGACTTGAGTTCAAAAAGACTAATATTGAGGCATAGTATAAAGCATTGCTGGCAGAACTAAGACTGGCCAAAGAACTAAAGGTCAAGAGTTTAGTTGCCTGTAGCGATTCGTAGTTGATCATTTGGCAGGTCACTGGGGAGTATGGTACCAAGGATGAAACAATAGAGGCATATCGTTCTACTGTTATACATAAAGCAAAAAGCTTTAATCAAATCAAGTTCATTCATTTGCCAAGAGAATGCAATGAGGACGCTGATTGGTTAGCCTGCAGTGCGTCAAGTTCCGAAAAGACACTAGCAAGAGTGGTACCTGTCGATGTGTTATGTCAACCCTCTATTTTTGAAGAACCACTCGGATCAGGTCCTCGAAAAGTAAATGTCATACCATTTAAGCCGAGCTGGATTAACCCAATCATAATATTCATACGAGATGGTGTGTTACCCGAGCAGAAAGACGAGGCAAGGAAAGTTGGATCAAATGTAGCAAAATATGCTATTATCCATAATCAACTCTATAGGAGGTCTTTCTTGGGCCCATATCTGAAATGTGTTACCCCCTCAAAGGCTAGACAGATCCTGTGAGCTATCTATGAGGGAGTCTGTGGCAATCATTTAGGAAGGAGATCTCTGGCACATAAAGCAATGACACAGGGGTATTTTTGGCTGAACATGTCGTGGGATGCGGAAGAATTCTCTAGAAGATACGATAAGTGCCAAAAGTTCGGACCACTGATCCACTAACTACCTGAAGACTTGCACGTAATGACCAAACCATGAACTTTTGCATAATGGGGGATGGATGTGGTTAACCCTCTGCCATAAGCCAGATCATAGAACAAATACGTTTTACTTGTAACAGATTATTTTACCAAATGGGTAGAAGCCAGACCATATCCCAGTGTGACCTAGACTTAAGTAAGATGCTTCACTTAGAGCAACATTATTTGTCATTTTGGAGTGCTGAGGTCGATCATCATAGACAATGGAACCAATCTAGACAGTAAGCAACTAAGGAACCTGCTAGAGCAGCAGTTAGCCATCCGCAGGCGAACGGTCAAGCTAAAATCACAAATAAAACAATCTTTACTTATATCAAAAAGAAGATTGAGGACAAGAAAGGAAAATGGCTGGACGAGCTTTCGAACATCTTGTGGGCTTATAAAACAACGCCTAAACGACCAACCGGTGAAAGCCCATTCGCTATGGCGTATGGCACTGAGGCGGTAATACCGGTTGAACTTCTAGTTTTAACTATTCAGAGTTTGGCATGGGATTAAGAGCAAAACAATAGTATACTGAAATTTAACCTTGATTTGCTAGAAGAAAAAGAGATACAACAGCAATAAGACTCATTTCTTATCAACAAACACTCATAAATAGTCATAATAAAAAGGTGAAGCATAAAGATTGTGCACCTGGTGACTTGGTTTTAAAAAAGAAGGTAGGAATCGTCAAGAATATGATGTCACCCTGAGAAGGTCCATACAGAGTTGTAAAGGTCGTAGGAAAGGAGGCATACACTCTGCAGACTATGGCTGGAAGATTGGTCAATAAGCTATAGAATGCCACGTCTCTAAAAAGGTACTACCAATATAGATTAAATTTCATTCCGAACAATGTTCATTTAGGATTGTGCTTATACGAATGTATCGATCCTTTAAGATTTATAAAAAAGAGTTCACTCTATTTCAAAAATTATTTGAGTAAAAAACACTTAATAAAAGTCAAGTGGCAAGTGGCATTCTAGTTGAGTGCCAAACACTTAGCCAAGTACGTGGCTGATAAGCATTGAATATTGTATATTCGATATACGTATGTTAAGACCTAAAGTAGTACATCTATTCTATTTTAGACTGATTAATGTTTAATGTGTGTTTATAGGTACTTTTCCAGAAAAATAGTTAAAATTAGGACTTTATGTTGATATCAAAGCTTACAAAGTCGTTGTCGGTCATCCAGAGCAAGTCGAGAGCTTACATGGTGAAGTTTGAAAGAATTTAGAATCCAAAGCTTCAGCCTTGGTCCCTGGGCTCGAGCCTACAAAGATGCTTTAGCCTAACCATAGGGTGCTCGAGCCTTGACCCTTAAGCTCGAGCACAAGGCGTCAGAATTTGAAGACTTAATTTCCAAGCTCTCAGACCTCGTGCCTCAACTCAAGGAACGAGCACCATCCATTGAAGCTCAAGCCTTGAGTACCAAATGCTTGATCCTAATACCTAGTGCTCGAGCCCATGAAGCCTAGATCGAGCAATGATAAAAGATTTCAATCCCAAGAATATTCTAAGTGTTGAAGAAATAGACGCTTCAGAAAGTAATTGTAGAAATTTAGCTAAATGTCAAAGTGAAGATTGAGCACCAATTCTTGAAGCTTGAGCATCTATTCAGAATAGCTCGAACCTTGTTCCTTAAGCTAGAGCATAAACCTTAAAGCTCTAGCCTTTATTCCTAAAGCTCGAGCCTTCTATGACATGTCAGATTTTAAGTTACGGGAAAGTTCTCTTTTCAAACCATATCTCATTCCAGATGGGCTAGAAGACCTAAAAGCCCACCAAATCTTTATTTTCTTCTATAAAAGAAAGCTTAAGTCTTAACAAAAGAGGTCTAAAAATCCAAGTCCTGTTTGGCCGTGTGATTCAGAAGGCTGACTGTGGTAGCTTTCAGGGTTCCCATAACCTTAGAAAGTGAAGATCCTGAGAAGAGAAGTGTCGTCCGTGACGATGGAGACAACTCTAACACAAATGATATTTGACATCATCATGCGTAGCTAATTCCTCTCTTAGGGCACTGATGTAACCCAATCTAGTATTATGGTTTGATTGTTTTAGCTCTGGGATTATTTTAATATATGATATTTTCTTAATTATATGACTATGAGCAATTGAGACAACTGATGTGTTATTTTCACTCGCAATAGAACAATTCTGTGCAGAATAGTCCTATAGAAAGAGATGTCGAACCCACAGGGAGACGAGATTTATATTTCAGTCTTTAACTTTATTCTATGGTTTACAGGTAACTTGGTTGGAGATTTTGTTGGTTGTCGCGGTTTAACAAACTAGAATTAAAACAAAATATTAAATAAAAGCAAAGTAAATAAATTGAGTGATCAGAGAGAGAGAGGAATCTTAGGGCTTTGACTTCACCACAACCATCGCACTACAGTTAATTATACTAACTCTGGGAATTTAACAATGATATTTTCCAAATGAATTAAACTCAATAACATTTGTTCAATTCAGGTTTTAAAGAAAGATGTTTTATAAATTTAGCTAACTATAACCTATCTGCAGTTAGCGTTGACTGTTTGTCTACCTACTCTAACTACTTTAACTACGTTGCAAACAATCCA